GCATGCTATAACGTGACTCAGAGTTTTGCACGATATTCCAATAGCACAATAGCACTGATTGAAATTTCGGATCATGGATCTCAGATGATGTGTCATTCGTTGTCCATTCATGTTGTTCCGATGCATGCATACAAAGAGGTATTTCGTTCGTACAATATCTAATCTACTAAGCGATACGCTATGAAGCACCCTTCTTCCCATAACGTCTTCAGTCGCGCCATACGTTCTGGTCACCTCACGTTCTTTGCTTTGACTCAACTCCACACAATACGGCGCCGTTTTTTTCATAACACCTCTTTGATTGATCGAGGGAGGACTATGGAAACTGATAGGCAGATGATGCCGGTAACGATGATGCCAGCAAGCACCGACAATGAGTCATTGTCAATGACCCTCCTTGATGACCGGGTCCAGCCGAAAGAGATCGGGAACTTTCGAGCTCTTCAGCCTATTCCGTATTGCATGGTATGCATCGGGCTCACATACAGGCAAGTAGAATGTGCCCCAACATGAGAATAAGATATCCAGCGGAGCAGTTCACCGATATTCACGCAGTATACTACCCTACCCACAGATGACTCTATAAGGACTCATCCTTATTGACTCTTCCTCACATCGTCATCAATGATCGAGAGCTGACCCTAACTGTCCACTAGATAGTGTCAACATTCCGACGTCCAAAAACTACTACTGAACACAAGCACCACGAAGCCTCAATAAACTGTGTAAGTGTGCGAATAGCAATAGGAATGAAGTTTATGATAAAGGTACACTGTAGAGTTAGCATACAGAATAAGAAGGCCTCTTAAGACACGGCCGCTGCTGTTGAATTAACTGGTGTTTGCGATGTATGATGACAATTGACTACATTAACGAACAATCACTATTAAAATCGGCCTCCTGGGAATCTTTAGGGATCTTCTCTCCTTCTCGCGTTATCGTAGAGGAGGAAGCCTCGGCTGGCTGGACTTCCTTCGGGGAGGAAGTCGATTTGAACGAAGAACTATACAGTTTCCGACGCTGTTTCCTCAAGTCAGCACAGACATCAGCCACATCCATCTGGTGATGATCAAGTGAGTTGATGACCACATCAGCAGCAGGCTCCATGATATCACTCAGCTCACATCTGAAGGAGGGTCATCTCCAATTGCAACTGCCTTCCCTCACCTACCTGACTTTCACCACTCTATTGGCCATTCTCTCAGCCAACTGGAAGGACTCATGTGGTTGCCATTGACCCTGTCGTAACGCCCAGTCAGCGATAGCAGCACACTCCTCATCTGTTAAGTCCCGGACCTAATATTTCCATCAAACTTATTGGACTCGAAGACCGCCCTTCACCTCCCCTTGAGGGCCGCCTCCCAACAGCTGGTCCATGAAGCCACCCTTGGCTTGCTTCAGGGCCTCCTCCGCTGACTGTGAGGCTACCGTCTGCAGCCGACGTCGAAACTGAAGTGCCATGAGGCATAGACTATCGAGTTCTAGCAGTACGCACCTCCTTCAGAGCTCTGTGGCCGGTATGGCGCCGAAATCCTCTCGTCTGCTAGCCTCCGCGCAA